GTTAAAACCTTGCTGAACAAACGTTTGCTATATATAGGCACCATGGTAAAAAAACTATCACCACTAACCAGTAGCATTACTCCCACTCACGCCAACCACAATATTTGGAAGGTTTCGCAAATAAACAGCGCATGTGCGACTTCAGTAGAGGCAACCGGTGCTCGTATTCGTCTGGAAAAAAGTTGCAGCGCTCATGCAATACCACAGTTGCTATTTCAAAAAGAAAAAAATACTATAACTTGTGTCAATATACTATGAATGAAGAGAAAGAAAGAGAATAATAGACAGGGAGGTTAGACAGTTCTCAGACCGAATGCCAGTGTATGTGTTTTTGCGCAATACGCAGACCATAGCGCTTCTTAATATGAGGATGCTTATGTTACGGTTACACAACAGTAAGCACGATATGAGATAATGGATAGACATTGCAGTTCAAATGACGGGCTTCGCTGGTCTTCTGCTAATATTTTATAAAGCAAGCGTACGCAAAACCAGAGTGGAAAAAATGTATATGGCTTGGTTGTAATTGATTGATTGATGTGTGGGGTTTAACGTCCCAAAACCATCATATGATTATGAGAGACGTCGTAGTGGAGAGCTCCGGAAATTTCAACCACCTGGGGTTCTTGAACGTGCACCCAAATCTCAGCACACGGGCCTACAGCATTTCCGCCTCCATCAAAAATGCAGCCGCCACAGCCGTGATCCAATCCCGTGGCCTGCAGGTCAGCAGCCTAGTACCTTAGCCAATAGGCCACCACGGCGGCATCGTGAATTGGTTGTATTTTTCTACAAAATTTAATGTAGATACTACGTTTTGTCCATACGGTTTGAGATAAACGTGATTTTTTTCAGAACATTACTTCTCACGAAATCAGTATGCTGCTGAGATTTTGTAGTTAAAATATTACGTCTAATTATACCTATAAACTATAAATAAACATGTTCAATTATTTTTTCTAAATAGTTAGGTTTCCGCAATATAAATGGTATATCAAGGCCTACACTCCGCAGCCCTCTCCTAAAGAGTCTCACACAGCCCGAGTTTCTTGGGGAAGATTAACCCCACTAACCAACCACCTTGTAAAAATTAGATTCTGTCATAATGTCTTCTTCAACTTTTTGAAACGTTTGAAACGCCTTCTCTCATAAACCGGCGTACTTTTAGTTACCGGCTCGGCATAGGACGTCGGTCTAGAGGCAAATAAGGCTTTACTCGCTATATCTAAATTTCTCTTCTCTGACGCAGAACAGGTTGCGGTGAGGAAGAACTTCTAGACCAAATCCATTACAGTGAATTATTGCCTCTGCTGACCCCATTCCGAAGTCGCTGCGAGAAACGACGGTCGTGGTCGCTGTTAACGGAACAGCTCGCGGAAGCGGGTTTCACTATCCGTTTCCTCTAATCACGGCAACGCGCTGCTGCGCAGTGCACAGCCATGTCACGGGCTAACGTAATTAACGGCGACTAATTCGCACTGCGGTGGCCACTTACGCTAGACGGCGTGACACGAGCCAACAATGACATATTGTTTGCCATTCAATGAATAACAAGTAGCGTTAATCTGAGCACTAGATGAAAGAGCGCCTTCTTTATTTTGCGTACGAAACCACTGCTTGACGTCATTATAAGGGAACCGATGCGTCGCTATAGCTACACCACCGCTATGAAACGCAGTTTGTCGCAGCTGACTTGTCTCCTGCACGAGCATGTTGCATGACTAGGTCTCTAATCACTGTAAGGAATAGGTTCGTTGATGACTGTGGATCAATGTGCATGACTTTAGAGACCACGGTGTTCATTAACTTCCTAGTCACGCAGCCTCGTCATACACTAGGGTTCAATGTTAGAAATACAGGTACATGAATAGGCGTATATAGTTTTAAATACGCATTCCCATTGGTCGAAGTGCTTGAAAACGTGCTACATCGCGCACTCTATTCGAGTTTTACTTTTCGTTATTCACCGTGGAGATTCCTTGTTATACGTCCATCAATTCTAAATTCGTTTTTTCGCGGTTTTGCTGAGTGGCAGAACAGAAAACGTTCATAAGATCGTCAGCAAAAAAGACAAAGAAAGAAAAAACATCACGCTACGAATCACAAAAAAATTTAAAAATTAATTTATTAAAATCTGACTATTTCATTGTAACATAACAAATTAGATTGAAATACACTTAATTTTATTTGGGTAAAATTTGAATCGTTCGAATTTAGTAAGCTTTTGCCGCATCTGCTTCCGAGCGGGGTTTGGATTAATGAAGTCATTATGTTTAAATGGTTAGTATAGTCTACGATAACTTGCCCTAAATGAGCTCAGCTTAGTTTAGGGTAAGCTGGATTATGTTGGGTTAAACTAGATCAGGCTAAGATATGTTAGATAAATTAGGTAACATTAGTTTTAATTGATTAGAATTTAGATGACTTGGCAGCGTGCTTCAGACATTGCACGTACTTTGCAGGTCCTGGCTCTATTCCATTCAACGCGTTTGCGCTTACGGGAGCAAAAAAAAAAAAAAAACCCGAGACGTAAATAAACGGAATTTTAATCTATATCCGCCAGATGCGAGAAAAAAAAAATTGCCCGCAGCTTCCCTCGGGGGAACACTGAGGAGGATGCGGAGCATATAATTGGTTAACGGGGTGTTAAAGTGCGACTTACTTGGGTCGATAGCTAAATTGGTTAACGTGGTTGTGAAATGGGGTGTTAAATTGCGACTTACTTGGGTCGATGGCTAAATTGGTTAACGTGGTTGTAGGAGGGGGTGTTAAATGAGTGAACACGTACACACGTATGCGAAAGGACGGCGCTGGTCGAAGGGACGTCGATCATTGTGTTTGTGGATTCGTTGGAATTCATTTCACCGCGACCTTGGACGTCGACGCGCCGTACAAACCAACCGACGAGCGGCAACTGAGCGAGCGAGCGCCGACCTTGAGTATATATACAGCACGACGGCGCATGCACTGTCAGCTGTTGAATGTTCTCGAAGCGCGACGCCACATGCGCGTCCACTGGAGAATCAGGAGAATTGTAGATGTCGAACGCGGTGTGTAGAGGAGGAAGGGTGCACAGATGGTGGAAGAGTGAAGCGCGCGCGGTGTGTAGAGGAGGAAGGGATGCACAGATGGTGGAAGAGTGGGCGACGGCGCGACGGCGCATGCGCGCGCGTCAGCTGTCGAATGTTCGAGAAGCGGTGCGGACGGCGCACTACAAGGCGCGAGTATAAGATGCTTCCGCATCTAATAGCAACAACAAAAAAAAACAACCAGCTTCGAGTAGCGGATGCTGGTGGAACATCGAAGTTGGTGACTTACCTTCGCTTCGCCAATTATGTTCTTGTTCTTGTTCCTTTATTAGCTGTGGCGCACACCCACTTTCGGGGATTGGCCGAGAATTTTTTAGCTGGTTGAATGAATTTGGTGAATGGTGGAAGTTAGTGGCGGGCGTGTGAGTATATAGTGGGACGAGTGGAAGATGTCCGTGGTGGCGATTTACCCACCCTTTGTGGCACGCACCCGTTTACGATATATGAAAGGCTTGACCAAGAGCAGTTTCGTATGAAAAGCACAGAGAGTCAAATTAAAAGCAACAACACGGCCTTTCTTGCGCCTGCGTTTTCTTTCTTGCTTTCTTTTTTTTCTCATATTCACTGGAAGTGCATCAAAAGTCAGTGTTTTTCGACTAACCCAGCCAAGAAATTTTAGAAACTGCATCGTATGATTTGCAGCACGTTAGAGAGAGGAATGATTTTCGTCAGGAGCAACGTACGCGTATCACGGCTTGGAATGATACGACCGTGCACTCGTCCCTTTAGTCCACATTCGCGGTGGGCGTGTGTCAGACGCTTAGAATAAATTGCACGAACATTGGTTCACGCTGTTTGCATCTTGTGAACTAGAAGCGTGCGCCAAATCACTGTGCGAGTTTTCTGGCCACTACCCCCGTGACAAATGCCATCGCTTCCTTGTACTCCGGGCCTAGTGACATGCTAATAATTTTCCCAACTCTCGTCTCTCTACTCTCAGAGTTTTGTTGTTTTTTTTTCTCGTTAGCCAACCTTTTATGCCTCTGTCTTACGCTGATACTTTTGCGTAGAGTTCGCGAAATTCGCGTAGATGTACAAGCAGACCTCGCGTGCCGTGTCCACTTTCGCTCGCTTCCGAGTTACGGAAACACTTGGAGTTCGGCATTTCCCCGCAAAGTCTATTATTGTAAACAAGCATCTTTAAAGGCACGGCATTTAGAAATTGAGAGGGGGGGGGGGGTAATAAATCAACTTGAGCCCACGGCACGGAAGCAAGCCTATGACAAAACAAAAACAAAACAGCATAAAGGTGGTGCTGTTTTACGGATATCAGAAACACGACATGCTTACTGTTGTGCGTACAATTTACTGGAAAAAATGTATTACATCTCTCAAGTACAATTCCTTTAGCGAATAAATAAAGTCCAGTATGTTTAATTAAAAGTTTAGTGCTTCTTAAAGCAGCAAGTTTAGCGAATAGAAGAATTCACCACTGTTCAAGTTTCGATGTTGATTGGATAAGATTGCGCCGTTCGTTGTCGCCTCACAAATGTGCTGTGACGTTTTGTCAGTGTTATTAGAGAATGCGTTGATTCGGAGTTCCGGCCTGGTTTAGCGGACCAACCACGCATGTGGAAGCACCACACTAACCGGCATCACCCCCAGCTACCAACTCGTACATTTATTGACATAACCAACAAGGCCGAGTCATTCAGGAAAAGTATAATCAGAAAAGAATGGCTAACCTATCGCATCGTGACATGTGTTCTATTTGTATGAGTCTCACCATGGGGAAGCCCCGTAAGGTCTTATATAGGAAAGAAGTAATCCGATTCAGAGCGTCCTGTTTAGTTGACGCAGCTAATTGCAGTTCCTGTTTTGTTGTCTTAGCAAGCTCAATGTGCTTCATGTTATGGTGGAAAGAATCATTGAAATGTCTTACTTTCTTTTTTGGTTATTATTATTGCGCAGCATCCGGCAGATTGTGAACCGTCGCAAGGGCCTGGAGATCATTCGGGAAATTGTCGACGATCTCCATCGCCAGCTCACCACCCTTCAGTGAGTATCCGTGTTTTGAAAAATGGTGAACAAGCATACCGATGCTTTCAAAAAACACTCACGTGAACTCCGCGTGAAATTTGCGTGGGTCCAAGTAGGTTTCGTGTATGAAATCAAGAGTTGTTATATGTGCGTATAAGTGTGTTTTTGCATGTGTGCCCGAGCTGTTCTATTTTCCATGCACTGCTTTGTATGTTTTACTTTAACATACGTGCTTCAAGTTTCACTCAAGGGACTTAAGGAATAGCCGGTGCCATAATTGTGCGCCAACATCTCCTTATATGTTACGTCAATAAAAAAGAGTTAGGACGAAAACTCCTCTGATTGGGAATGCTCGTGATCAAAGGTAAATGAATGCGCCTGACCAAATAGTAGAAAAAAAACTTCCTGAATTAAAAATGTTCTGGTTCTCGTACGGGCACCTTGTTCACAACGATGCAATGAAAGAAGGGCTAGTGATTAGGTACGCCCAAACAGATGGCGCAAACAGCATGCATACACACAACGAAAGGTGTCATTATTGCGGTTCAGCGTGGTACAGAATTTACTGGTTATTCGAGATGAAGTCGGGAATTTATATTCATTTCAGCAGTTAGCGCATGTGCGCTGCTCCAGTCAATGTCGTGTCTCTTTGAACCAGAATGTTTGGCAAGACTGCTAACAAACAACTCTTTTTTATCATAACAGTGAAAGCCTTTGAAAATCACCAGTATCGCTCATGTACGCGTGAACACAGTCTTCACAGGAATATTCTGCCCGACACCAAGGAAACCGTCTTTCGGAAGCCTGTCCTTTACGTTCATGAGCACTTTTTTTTTTACTTTTTTTCATCGGCACATGTCTCTCGTCCACGTCAAAGGAACCAAGCACGCTGGCTAAGGCCTCACTGGTTCGAAAAGCATATGGTCTCGAGACACGTTCACGATGAACAGATGTGGCGGAGGCACAGATAGACGGGTGTCATTGCGAACAAAGTGCACATATGGGAGCCGAAACGGATTTCATTTTAAGATTCTCCTTGTATTTGGTCAGTACGCTCTTTTTACCTTTGACCATGTTTCATATAACCTGTCTGATCCTAGTTCATGGCACTCCTTTTTATATCGCTCCTACATTCGAACATGACAGCATGATTCCTTACCATGAACTTTTCTCTAATATTGCGAAGCCTTCTTCAGAACTTGGTTGGGTGAGTGCCATCGCACAAATAATCATTTTCTTGAAAAGTTTATAAGATTATTTTTATCTTTTCAACAGCCACATATCAATACTGACGGAACAGTGCAAACAGTGCGACTGAGAAAGAATGAGCACACGACACAAGCCCTGAATATGTGGGCAACGTAGTTTAGGACATTCCATTGCCCTGTGGTCTGTCCTATACTGGACACACCAGTCGCTATTTGAACGACTACCTGAGGGAGCACGCAAATAATATCAGGACTTTAACCAGTAACATCTTGGCAGCCCATTGCTCCTTGAGCGGCTGCGTCTCGCTCTTTCATGAATGCAAGATACTCTCCAGATATCCTAACACGACAGAGCGCGAAATCAACGAGGCTTTTCACATCAAGACCAAAAGGAACATGTGAGTCAGTGAGCCTTCACTCGCCCTCCTGTAAAAAGAGACAATGTTTTTGAGTAGCTAACTTGTACATTTCGACACGTGGCAGATTCGTTTTTGCCTTTCACTATTTTGTGCACGTGATTGTTTTCTTCTTCCCGTTTTCAGCTATATATTTCCCGATGTGACAAATTTACACACAATTCTTCGAACACCGCTTGTGTCGTGAGTTCATTCGTTATCAGTCCCGTTTTTTTTTTTTTTTTGCGCCGTTCACGTCAGTATCATGTACCAACAGGCCATTCAAGAAACCCTTCAACATACTAATGCTGTGCGGTGGAAATGAGGTAACGAGATTGCCAGCAGTGCGCTTCATAAACACGAAAGTGGCGCAAGATCGAGGAAGCACTCATGGTTCTACATTTCAAAGTACATAGTGGGACGCGAGAAATTGTTCTTGCCTACACCTTCAATCATTCCAAAAATAGTTTTTCCGCAAGCTACTACAATTTATTTCTATTAAGAAAGCGGAAAACGAGATTGTTCTCTCTTTCCTTTTTTTCTTTCTTTATTTTTGTACTCAGAATGCCGGAAAACCTGCAATTCAATGAAGAGAAGAAAAACGTGCTGTTTGAGTACGCTCTATTTCAATGTCATTTATCTCGCAAGCAGCCCACTTTAAGTACAAGAGAGAATTAGACAAAGTTAAATACCTGGAGAGGTTAGCCTAGTTACTGGCCTGTCATGCTGCTTCAGATTACGTAGAGAGGAGTTAAACAAAACAGCGCGAAAAAGAAAGGCGAAGCACAACACCGCAATAACGCATGCGCCGACACAAATGCGTTTTCAAGAAATTTATTTGCATGGCCTCCCTTGGAGAACGTATCCGACGAAAATCCTAGAAGTGTTTCAAGACAGGTTCCTGTTCCTGTCTTGAAAAACCCAAGGAAGAAAATAGACAAAGTAGACATTGAGACAGAAGTTCAAGAGCAACGTTATCTGCATCTCAGTGGAGACGCAGCAAGTAGGCGTACATACGGCAATAGTAGCCCAGAGTATGTCTGGTGTGACCCTTTCACGACGACTGTCTTTCGCGGATATTTGGTGCGCTTGTTATGAACGTCACGCTGTGATATTTTTTTTTCTCTCCTGAACTTTCTTTCTTGTTTCACTTGCCCACATTCTTTTCAAGTAAGATTTGTCTCACGCTAGCGGCCGCCTGCAGATATTCCCGTTTTTTTTTGTTTGTTTTTTTTGTCTCAGCCGGTTGTTGGGAAACTAGCGAACCACCTCCTCACGTGGATATCGTGCATATCTTCTTTGTCTAGACATTGCGCTACTTCCCCGCAGTTTTCCTTTTATGCCCACTCAAAAAAGAATATAGGATGTTCAAGAGTGTGTCGTGTTATTATAGTGCATTCGGTTTACCGTCCTCCTCTTCGCGATGTCTCGTCTGAATTTCAAATGAGAACCAAATCAGACAGCCCAACACCTCCTCGTTGATTCCGCATTCTATTTTTGGAGTGGGTGGGAAAGAAACTGTGACGCACACCGAAAGACGTGACAGTGAAACAAACGTGACGCTCATACTTCGCGGACTTCCAACACTAGATGACACAACCGTCGAGCACCCGCGTCTATCGACGATTCTGCGAGGTTGAGGCAACCCATCGAACGTCGCGAGGCCTTCGTCCAGCGCGTGACCAAATTAGACGAGGCAAAAATTTTTAGTCATTGTTTTTTTCGTCACTGTGCTCAACAGCTCAACTGTGGCTAACCTCAGAGAAAATTATTGAGTTACTGAAAGCTGATTTGCTGGATTGGTTAATAGATAAGGCTGCTTCCGAACGTTGTTGTCATACTGGTCATAAGATTAAACTTATTCTAGGTATAGGAAACGTTTAGTTACTTATGACACGTATCCCTTCGGGTTCGGTTGTACGTTTCCTGATGTTTCAAAACGTTCATTTAATTCAAGCGTCACGCCTGATCGTGTTGCGTATTGTTCCGCACTCAAGACTTCTCGTCGCGCTCAATCAAATTAGGAAACTGTAACAAACGGTAAGTTATGCTTTAAAATGGGCTACACTTGGAAACAAGCATAGACGTGCGTAGGGTTTTCCACTTTTATAACACCAACTCTTCGAAACAACAGCGCTCATAATTCACAGGCAGGTAAAAAGTACGCATGAGTCGTTCCCTGCAAACGCCATCGAGCAGCTCAGGAGGACACGAACGAAGACCCTAACGGAAAACAGAGATTGCCGCTCCGGTGTTAAAAAATCGGCTTTGTTGTATTTAGATCTTCAAAGAGGCATTAGGCGCACGCTTTCTCAGTCGAAACGCGTCCTCTTTCGAAATCGAAATCACCAAAGTGTTCTGAGAAAGCTTGCATCTTTGGTTAAAGAAGCGTACCTTTAAACGCTCACTTGTTCAAAGGATGCCAGCACGTCAATAGACCGCGCATACTCCAGGGTACACAACGTCGAAGCCCGCTACAAGGTGTCGCCCCGCACAGCAGCACGCGCGCTCTAAACAGACGTGAACATGGTTTTACAAGGGTATGGTCGGAAGTTCCCACGCCACTGTCTCGTGTATCTATATGACAGGGGAGCCTTGAACGACCCTCTACGTATCGATAATTCGATTACTCAAGATAAAGTTCTACCGGACGTCAACAATGACCATAGTGCGCTGCGTTGCCTGTCTACGTGCCAAACCTGGTCAGTGACCTATCATGATCCCACAGCTAATGCTGCAACGCATACCAGCACACTGGTCATTCTTATAACGAAATATGTCAGGAATCCCATCGAGCCAAAGCGCCGAGTCACGCAATGCTAGTGAATGGCAAACAATAAAAAATAAAGCATGCCCACTATGGCATGCTCTGCCTTCCAACAAGGACAGCAAGCCCCAAACATTCGTGCCATTATGCACTAATGTGTGCTATAAGACTTGATTTTCCACATCTACACAGTTATTTGTCCTTTTGATGTATATATAGAAGTCCATTGTTCAGTCAGTGAATAATAGTGCTCGTAGCTTTACGGGAAGGGTCAGTCAAGTCAGCCAACTGAGAGGAGAAAAGGCAAGACACGGGGGGACCACGTTGTGTCAAGCCGATTCACTTGCGCAGCAAACGAAGCGACTGCGGACCCGGCCTTCTTCCCGGACAGGACTGCATAGTAGGCAACGTCGCTGGGAGCGGCCAGGACCACGACTTCATCAACGGCGACATCCTGCCCGGCCGGAGGCGACGACGTACGTTGCGCGCCGAGCACGCCCGCACAACACTCGCCGAATGCCAAGTTTAACATCGCCAATGGAGACAAGTAACTGCCGACCCGAAGGTCGCGCGATCGAATCCCGGACGCAGCGACCGCATTTAGACGAAGTCGAAATGCCGTAGAGGCCCGTGTAGTACTTTGATTTA